TGAGTGAGACATTCCCCTCCTCTCAGACAAGTTTCCGTCCGTTGGCAGAGATAGAACGTGATGGCAAATAGCTAACGTACTTTATTTTTTTTTTTTTTTTTTTTTGTATCCTCACCTGAGGACATTTTTCCATTTTTTGTTCAGGTAGAGTGGGAGGGAGAGAGAGGAACAGAGAGAGAGAGAGAAACATCGATGTGAAAGGAACATATCGAGTGGCTGCCACTCGCACAACCGACAAACTGCAACCGAGGTACGTGCCCTTAGCGGGAACCGAACCCGGGTCTCTCAGGACCGCAGGCCGACGCTCTAACCGCTGAGCCAAACTGGCCAGGGCAGCTAGCTAACGTACTTTAGAAGAGAACGCTCCTTGGGTCTCCAGAGAAGTCCAAAGCGGCGTGCTGGGGCGGGCATTCCTTGTGAGATCTGCATTTCACAGGCTGTGCATCTGAAGATCAGGGAGAAGAAATGCAGGAGTGAAGGTCACATAGCCCAGCCAAGGCCAAGCTGGGGGCAGACCCAGGCTCCTGGCCTCCTATGAAGCATTCCTGCTACATCAAGGCACCGTGCGGGTATCGTCCTGGCTTGGGTCCAGGCATGGCCTCTGCAGCCTGAGCTGTGTTTATTTCTGTCTTTCACAGTTTTTAAAATTTCTTTTTCAATTATAGTTAACATACAGTAGTATATTAGTTTTAGGTGCACACCACAGTGATTAGACAATTATATACATCACGAAGGGACACCCCCCCATACGTCTAGCACTGGTCTGACACCTTACATAGTTATCACGGTGTCACTGACTGTTCCCTGTGCTGTACTTTACATTCCCGTGACGATTTTTGTAACCGGCAGTTTGCACTTCTTCGTCTCTGTCTTACTGCTGCCTGCCCGATGGAGCCCAGGCAGCTGCTGACCCCCAGCTGCAAACCTGTTAGGCTGTTCAGGCGACACTCCTGAAGTCGGAGGCTTGGGAAGAGAGGAGGGAGCATGCAATGCCCAGGCTGTCTGAGGTTTAGTTGTTCTGATGTTTGGGGTTGTCAGAGAGAGCAGGGTAGCGACATTTGATTTCTAGAGTGTCTCCCACGCCCCACCCCGGAGGAGGACCTGATGTAACCGAGAAATACGGCCTGAAGAGAAGGCATCTACCAGGGCAGCTGCGCTCCTTGAAAAACTGGGTGGGCTTTTCGGAACTCATCTGCCAGTTTGGCTGGAGTGCTCCTGCCGTGCACAGGGAGGTGATGACCCTCACGGCTGTGTGGGTGGGATGGGACAGACCTCAGGACCTGTTCAACCACAGCCCTGGCAGACCGAGCCAAGGTGAGCTTCGGCCCAGAGACCTGGGTTCTTGTCCAGGTTCTGTACCCCTCGCCACTGGCCCCTGCCCTCCCAGCCTGTGTCAGATACCCCCGCTGGGAGTCCGAGGCCCTCTGTGGAGGAGTGGTTGGCCAGCAGACCACGAGATTGAACTTGGCTTCAGATGCTGGACTACTGACTCATGAACGTGTGCTGTTAACCGTGGGCTGGTCCCTCAGCCTCTCTGAGCCCCTCTCCAGTCCCTCCTCTGTAGGATGTGGCTAATGTGAGAACCACCATTTTCAGTGGGGTTGATACGAGGGCCAAGGGAGACAGTCACATGGTGCCCAGCACAGTGCCTGGGGCATAGGCAGTGCCCAGCGAGGAAGCCTGAGGTCCTCCTGGGCCACCACCGTCGCCCACTCCTTGACCTCTGACGGTCTAGGGCTGCCTGAGCCCAGGCCACGCCGGCCTCCAGGCCGCTCCCAGGTCAGGCTCCCGGCGGCAGGTTCCCGGCCCGCTGCCATGGAAGAGACTGGGTCTGTGGGGACAGCTGTGCCTGGTCCTGGCTTCTCCACCTGCCTGCTGAGTAGCCAAGTCCCTTCCATCTCCAGGACAGAGGTATCTCCTGAATAATATCAGTGATAATAATAGTAGCAGTAATGCTAATACTGATAGCAGCAGTGGTTGAATGCGGCACCTCCAAAAAAGGAGTCCGTGCCCTGCACACCACACCCTGCGAAGGTGACCTAATATGGGAAAAGGGTCTCACCTCTTTATCAAACATGACCACTTGGAGAAGCTCCCATAGAAAACACGAAGAGCCTGGCTGTGTTAGTGCAGGGCGAGGCCCGGAGCCTGCAGAGCCCCCTGGCTGCCCGGGGCTCAGACCCGGGAGCTTCTGCAAGAACCCAGACAGGCCCTGTGCTGCTCCGTGACCCAGCGAGCGCAGGGCGGCCCTGCCGACAGCGGAGAGGCCCCGCCTTCTCCTCGGCATTCACTCCACCTGTCGCTGCGTGAGCTTGAGTCCCGACTCCTTCCTGGTTTCGGAATAGCGGATTCTTTTCTCTCCTTGGTCAGAGATTCTTAAGAAGGCAGATTCTTGGGGAAACGGCAAGACCCAGCCCACACTGAGGCTGCCCCCGTCCTCCCTGGGCCAGTGGGTGCTCGGGGAGATCCCCGGCCAGGGGCCCAGCTCCGCACCCCGGGCAGGGGCAGTGCCTGCTGGCAGTGGAGGAAGGCCAGGCTGCCCCTTAGGAAGCGGGTCTGGTGTCCTGACGGTGGCCTGCAGCGTCTCCAGGGGTCTGGGCAGCAGAAGCTGCTTCCCACACTGGTTGCCTGTCCAGCTGCCTTAGGTGGCCGTAGATAGGAGTCCTCACCCCGGGGGGCCGGCTGGTTATTGGAACAGCTGCGCAGTCAGATTCCGGATGCCGGGGTACAGGGAACCCGGCAGTCCTTTGAAAATATGTTGCTAACGCGTCACACTCTTGCCTCTCACAGCGTAGCGTGGCTGCCTCATGAGCAGTCCCGTCGGCCTGTTCTGTATGCAGGGCCCAGCCCAGCAGACCTGGACAGAGGGGGAGGGGTGCTGCACAGGAATATTCGTGTGGATGGAAGGCAGGGGATTGTCCAGGGCAGTGCTGTTTCCACACCACAGGCACAGTGGCCCCGGGCGTGTGGATTGTACTAGGGTGGCCGTGTGTCCGGTGTGCCTGGGACAGCCCGGGTCAGGCCTGGTGGCCCAGCGGTGTTAGTGGTTCCTTTTCCACGCTCACACACATTCAGGCTTGATGGTGAATCCCACGGTCGCCCTGATGTGTGTGACTGCAGGCGCTGAGTGTGCACATGGGCCACGCGTTGAAGACAGAAGCTGTCCTGGTGTGCAGAAAGGTTGGCTGAGGGTTAGCACCTTTGCGGGTCGTGGGTGGGGCACGTCACCCCTTCCCAACACGCGTGGTGGTGACATCATGGGACAAAATGTCACGCAGACCATGCTTCAGACCCTTTCTCGTAGCTGACCAGCTTTCAGACTTTAGGAAATTACTTAGTGTAGCTCAACCATAAATGAGGAATCATGACACAGCCGTCACAGAGTTGGTGTAATTACAAAATAACCTAGGCAAAGCATCGAGTTTATTTCCTGACACATGATAGGCTGCCAACAAATGGCATTATTATGATTATTATTATTGTTCCGTAACTGTTATAATTTTGGCTTTAATCTCTCCACCTCTGAAGGGGAGGGGTGATTTCTGTCCTGTCCTGCTCCCCAGGTCTTCGTGAGGCTGGAACCGGAACTGGGTGCCCCCGGGAGGGTGTGCAGTGTTTGAGGGGGGGACTTTGGACAGCACCTTGCTTGCCCACCTGTCCCGTGGTTCCTTCCCCTCTGACATGGGACTGGATTCTCAAGCCACCGTCCCGTCCACCTGCCCTGAGGACTCTGTCACCTCGGGCCCTCCCTCCGTCCCCTCCCCAGCCTAGCCTACTTCCCGCTCCCTCCCGCCAAGCCACACTGCGTACGCACCAAGGCCAGATGTCATTACTGACGCTGGCTGACTGGGGGAGGGGGGCTGCCACCCAAGGGGAACTGTGGACCAAGTTTCTGGTCTTGCTGGCTCAGCACCTCTCCATTTTCCCTCCCAGAGACGTGCCTCTTTCCTCTGCCTTTGGAATGAAGGTGTCATGTGTTCCTAGCGTCCTTACTTTAGTCCTTATTTCTGCCCCCTAGTTTGCCTTCCTGAATGCCTAACCCTTTCTTTGCCTTTTCAGTGTGACTGCTTGGGGAGGGAGTACTGCACAGTGGCCGCTTGGGCCCGTGCCCTCCCCGCCCCCTCCTGGTACCCATCGGGGGCCCTACACTATCGCTGGTGTTAGTATCGCAGCAGCATGATTGGGTTATTGTTAGGGTTGTCTGTGTGGTTGTTCAGCTTACCAGGTGATTGTCATTCTTGTTGCCCGTGGGGAGTTGGAGGACTTTTATGAGTCTATGAGCAAGGGAAGTGGACGGAATGGGTAGGAAACGCCTCGGGCAGAACCTCGCGCGTGGTCTGGAGGGGACGCCTTTCCGCGGGCCTGACCCTCTTAGCTTTGTGATAGAAGAAATGGGAGTCTTGCCGGCCCAGTTGGGCGAACCAAGTCCGTCCTATGGCTGAAAGCAGATTATAATTTAGGGGGCATTTGAGAAGGAGAGCAAGGGGGTGGGTAGCACCCTGACACCCCATTGCTTCCACAGCTCCTCTGCTGTTTCCAGGTCCTTGCAGGGCACACCGGGCCTCAGCCACAGCCAGACTGAGAGACGCGGTCTGACCTTAGGATGCTTCTTAGGAAACCTGTTGTGTCCTGTGTCTGTGCCCAGCTGTCCATGGGTGACAGCCAGTCCCGGGCCCCGTTTGCCCGGGCCGTGCTCTGTGGTGGAAATGTCCGGGCACCGCCCACGTCCTCCCTGCGGCCGCCGTGACCCGCTTTTCCCCAGGGCAGAGCCAGCCCGAGCCACTTTCTCACCAGGCCAAGGACTTTTCAAAGTTGCTGTGTTTTCTCTATCATTTCCTTCTCGGCCCCCCCAGCACTTCCTGTTTTCTCTTCCTCTTTCTCCACCCCCACCCCATCGCTCAGCCCGAGCCTGCTGGGCTGAGAACAGGAACAAGCGTGGAGCATTGATCATCCCGATTTCCTGGCGCACGGGTTGTCCGCTGCTCCGGGCTGGAGCCAGGGCTGAGCTTGGCGGGCACGTGAGCTGCCGGGCAGGGAGCCGTGGCCTGCGGAGCCCGCCCCAGAGACTCTCCTAGAACCACTCTCCGTGCCCGCGCCCCACCTACAGCTCCCAGGGAATGTCCTCCTGCCTCCGCACGAAACCAGATGCACACAGTCCAGCTCACGGGCAGCACTCAGATTTGGGAGTGAGATGTGTTTATTAATGACTCTGCGCCGTGTTCTCTTCATGCCTCGGCCCACCGTCTAGCTGGCTGAAGTGTGGTTCCCTAACCCTTGGGGAAAATGCAGTCGATTGTATTTATGAGGACAAATTAGGAAAAGGATCTGTGGGACTCGCATGGTGTGCCTGGCAGACAATATTTGCGTAACGAATGCAAGATTCTTTTTTTTTTTTTTTGGTTTGGGTTTCTGCACAGAAATGGCTCTTTAAATGCACAGGAGCCAGAAAAATTACCTAATCAATGCTACCCACGGGAGGAGAGCCCATGTCCGTTACTATCTTCCTGAAATATGGAGAGAGAGACCGAGACAGGGAGAGCGGAGAGACAGAGACAGGGAGAGCGGAGAGACAGAGACAGGGAGAGCGGAGAGACAGAGAGAGGCCCACTGAGACACCACCGGCTGGGTACAAACGTGCCCGGCCCTGAAGCACAGGGCCCACCCGCCTCCGTGCTCAGGGCCCGCGCTGGTCCATGGCAGTATTTTTCTGAGGGAAACTGGGAGAGCCCTCCCGACCACATGCCTGAGGTGGGCTGTTTTACTCATTTAGCTCCCGGGGTCAAACGCCGCAAACAGCAATCTGGAAAGCGTGCCGCCTCCCTTTGTGAAAATCTGTTTTAAAGAGAAAGCGACTTCCCATTCAGGGTCAGCGGCCAGTTGTTGGAGAAGCCAGCCAGACCATGTGGCTGCTTCTTAAAACATCCCAAGGCCGGAGAGTCAGAGACACGTTCTCATCTGGACTCCTCTCCCAGGTCACCAAACCTTGAGCGGGGCTCGTCTCTTCTGTGCGCCTCTGTTTCCTCAGCTGCCAAATGGGAGCATGAGACAAGGTCATCCGGTGGATCTCTCGATGGATCTCCCTCAGCCCTGGGAATCCGTGATCCTGGGGCTCTGCTCTCCTTAACAACAACAACAACAGAAAGTATCGTTAGAGGAGAACAGGAAATGGCCTCTCCTAGTAACATGACTTGCATTCCTTTTAGCAGATTATCACTCACTTAAGGACAGAGAAACCACAGGACTCCAGGGGGCCGCTGCCCTGATTCGGGGAGCCAGACGCGTCTTGCCCGAGGGCTGCTCAGCCGTGCGGTCCTTCAGCCTGGATTGCTGAACCTGAACCACAAGAACTTCTTCCAGGTAAGAAACAGCTGACTTAGTGCTGACAAACAGCACGTGACAGCCAACACCTTCAGGGCGGGGAAGGCGGGATGCACACGCACAGAGTATGACAGATGGGCATTTCCCCGGGTTTGTCCTCTTTGACTGGAAGCCATGCCTCCTAGCGCCACATCCATGGAAAAGGACAAACAGAACACAAGGACCTAGTTGAGAATTGACATGCATTTCAGGGTAACTGTAATTTTGAAGTGAAGGACCCTAGGTTCTGTAAGAGCATTCTGGGTGGGAGCCACCTTGACATTTGGAGAGTCAGGACATGAACTAGGGTAGCTTCGAATTGCACGCAGGAGGAGAGCATATCTGAGCCGTTCTAGGTTGCTTTTTTCTTGCAGAATCCATTTTGGATCAAGCACACCTGGGTTCCTCGCTGCCCCCCCGGATCTAGCCAAGCAGGGGGAGACGTCCTCATGTAGCCAATCTGGGAGGGACTTGAGGTCTCGTACAGAGGTCTGGCTGGCATCTCACTCGCTGTAACCATTTTAGAGACAACTTCAGTCTGTGAACTTGTCACCCAAGAGCACTGCGGCGCGTGAGCTGCAGGTCCCGTTCCCCTCGCCTCTCGCCTCACCACCAGCACGTTGGACTTCTCTTGCTCCCTCCCTCCTCTCCCACCTCCTCCCATTGGTTATGCACACTTTTCTTCCTGTCCACAAAGAGAGGGTCGCATCTACTTGAACTTCATTGAATTTGGGCCTGACATGAGCTGATATTCCTTCCCGATGACTAAAGATCTACTGAGGGTTCCGCTCCCAGACTCTGTTATATCAACACCCCTCCTCTAAGCCGCCCCAGGGACCCACATAGAGGATCAAGTGTCGCTAAGGAGATGCCGATACGCCGAGCTGGCCACACACCTGTTACCCTTCAGTGGTGGCTGGTGTTGCCCGCCGCTGTTCTCTCCTAAAGTTCTTCTTTTTATCTTCAGTTTCCTTGAAAACTAAAACCACAGTATGTTGTAAGGCTGAGAGTAGTATGGGAGGTAAGACCAGGTGGTTTCTAAGGTATTTCCCAATCCTGCGTTCCCAGCGTCATCTTATCCCCTGTTCCTCAGACCTCGTGGGGAACGAGGCCGCCCTGGGCCCCCTTTCTTCTGTCTCCGGTGGTTTCTCTCCCCAGCGTGGTTCTCTGAGCCACAGCCTAACTCGGGAGCAGGAGACGAGTTTCAGAATTAGACAGACTCGCCTTCAGATCTCAGTCCTGCTATTTCTTAGTGCAGTGATTTTGCCTAGATCGTTGTAAATTCCCGATCTGCCATTTCCCCATCTGTAGGACGGGGACAGTACGTTCTAATCTGTAGGCTGGGCTTGTGGGAAGAATCAAAGGATGGAATGCATCGGTGTAGTTTCTTGTTTGCATTAGACCTCAAAAAATGTTAGCTTCTCTTCGTGTCCAGCCTTATCGAGAACCATGGAAATAGAGCTTTTGTCCTCCACCGTGTCCCATTTGAGCCGTGGGCCTGAAATCCAGAGACGGTCCTTGTGTGTCCACACCTAAGTCCCAGCCAGTGACAGAAGAGAGAAGTTGCTAACAGAGCGTGTCTTCCTTGGCACCCAGCAGCACCCCTGCCTCACCTCAGCCAGAGTGCCCTTGGAGCCCAGCCCCCGGAAGGCTCGCTCGGTCATACCCCATGTCCCCGCCCAGGCCTCTCCCAGCCCTTCAGTTCCACTGTTTGTCATGTGAGGTGTCAGGTGAAAACCGACTTCCTCCCAGCAGCTCTCCTTCCTTTAGACTAGCATAGACCCAGGGGGCTGGGGGACATCTGGGGGCAGGCACCCCGGCCGGCAGCGCTCAGCAAGGGTGAGCCAAGCACGTGCTCATTCGGGGCTGACTTCGGCTTTCCTCCTCGCCCGTTGGGTCTGTGGGGCGTCATCCATGCGCCATCCTTTCGTTCAATGGACGTTTGTGGAGCGTGCACCACGCGGCAGGTGTCCTTGGTGTTAGAGGACAGCACGGAACAGGACAAAGTCCCTGTCTCACGGAGCTGACGTTCTAGTCGGATCGAGGAGTGAACATCAGGTAAACGTACATGATATCAGGTAGTCATAAGTGTTATGTAAAAAAAAAATGTGTATGTCTCCAAGCCAGAGAGCCAGGAAGTGGGGGAACGGGCATTGCTGTGCTGCGGGGTACCAGGGAAGGCCTCCCTGGTCTGCGTTACTGGCAGGACCTGACCGAAGTGAGGGAGGGCGGCATCTCGGGGGCGCCGTCTAAGTAGAAGTAAGAGGACGCGCTTGCCTGGTCCAGTTTCAGTCATTCACTCAGAATCCTGTCCTGGGCACTGGCTACCGAGACTCCGGAGATGCATGAGACTTGGCGCCGAGCAAGGGGCCGTGGACTGGCGCTGGTCCAAGGCTGCCTGGGGAAGTTGCGTCAATAAATTAGGTTGAAGTGAGCAGTTGTCCTAATGTGGTCATTGTGGAACCAATTTGCTAGAGTGGGAATTTTCCACTGGAACCTCCCACAGGTCACTTCTATCCAATTCTCTTGGATTTCGTTCACCTAGACCGTTGCCAAGTCTTGGCTTCAGGGGCGAGGGAGGAGCAGTCCATTTGACCAACATCTGAGTGCCTACTGAATGTCAGCGCCGGTGCTGGGCACCAGGGGTCAGTGGTGATTACATTCAGCCCCTGGCCTCCAGTTGTTTGTGGTGGTGTTGGGAGACCTGCTAGTGACTAGGCAACACACCCTATCAGTGTTGTGCAAGAGTGAGTGTGAGAGCCCAGGGTTTCTCAGCCCACCCTGATGGGCAGAACCAGGACGCTCCCTGGGGACACGCCATCTCCACCCAGTCCCAGAGGTGAGGGCTCATCAGGCAGATGGACGGCAGGGAGGGTGGACTCTTCGGGGGGGGGGAGTCCAGGCAGAGGGGAGGCATACGCAAGGGCTGCCCCTCGGGGATCCGTGTGCAGCACCGGTCCCCGTAGCTGTGGGATGAGCCACGAGGCAGCTCCGAGAGACCGTGCGACTCGTTCAGAGTGAGGGGCTGGAACCCTGAAGTCAGGCCAAGAGGGTTGGGTCTGTCCTGAGGGCAGCTCAAAGCTGTGAGCAGTTCTTTAAGCGAAGACCGATGGCCTGATTGGAATTTTATGAAGCAAAGGGTCTAATTTTATGTGACTCCCAGTTCTTTAAAGTGCTTATTTTACACCCATTCCTGGTGATGTTGTAAGAGTGTAGTGTCCTGAGCTGGGAAGTAGGTTAATGCAGATGGGCTGAAAGAGCTGTCCGCTGGGCGTGGACGGATCCGGGGCCCTTCCACCATCGAGTGCCCCATGGATGTTAACTGTGGGCAGTGTTTCCCGTGCAGGCTGGGTACGCAGCTTGCTGGGACGTGGTTGGAAATTTGAGCCTTGTTTCTAATGGGGTAAGTGACAGCCCATGCTGTGCTAGTGGAAGTCATGGAATTCAGGCCTTCATACATTTTCTCCTTGTCAGAAAATGAATGGCTGATATCCATCTCTCAACCCTCTCTCTGCTGAATACTAAGAGTGTTCTCTTTAGAGATGCATGAATCCATTAAATAGATAATACCTAAGTACCTCCACGCGGCAGACATTGTGCTCGGCCTTGGAACATTAGGACAAATCCAACATGGTCAGCCCGTCCAGGAGTTCATTTGTGGGGAACTAAGGAGCCAAAGTCACAGGAGCAGACAGTGAGTAAGAGTTTTGGCATGAACAGAGTGATATGGATACAGAGAAGGAGCATTCTCTCTGCCCCGGGTAGTCAGGGAGGGCTTCCAAGAAGGGCCATATGAGCTGGGCTTTGAAGGATGAGTAGGAGTTGGGATCTGGGAGAGAGAGGCTCCTAGGACTGAACAGCACTCTGTCCATAAGGGCCAACACTCAGGTCTCTGTGATGCAGGTGGAGGAAGAGCCAGAGTGATTATCACGCATAGATAATGCCTCAACTGCGCCTGTTAAAAAGTCATTAGTAGCCACCCCCTCACCCTCCCACCTTGTTCCGAACAATGACTAAAAATAATTAAATTGACTAATTTGAGCTGATCTCTGACCCACAGAGGTGTGAATGAGCAGGCTAGGATAAGGGGGACCCAGGAAAGAAGGAGAGCAGAGGAGGAGGGGCCCTTCTGCACCTCCCAAAACACGGAGTCAGCAGCACAGATTCCCCAGAGCTCAAAACTCAGCTGTTCAGAGAACTCCGCCTGCTTCTTCCCACTGCGAGCTGCAAGAGGTTTTTAAAACCTGTGTCTGTCCTACCTTCCTCTTGGGAAAAACATATATTTTGTGTGCATGTGCATATGCGTATGCTACACGATGTGTGTGTGTGTGTGTGCGCGCGCACATATAGGTTATACAGAATGTGTTTTAACCAGGCACTGGGCCTGGGGCCAACAACCTGCAGGCACAGTCGTTGGCTGGAGGATGAAGGGGTGGGTTAGAACCGACCTTGCCGATGGCACCGTTCCCCAGAGGTGCCAGGTCCATGTGCTTCATGGCACTGGACGTCCCCAGGAGGGTGTCTTAGAGCCGGTCACAGGAGAGAAACCGAAACCGAGGGCTGGAGGAGCTCGTGCAAGGCCCGCAGCTGCTAGGTGGTCAGGATTCTCTCCCTCTCTTCCTCGTCTCCCTTCCACTGTCCGTGACGTCTCCTGATCAGTGGACAGGCTGAGCTTCTCGGAAACCAATGAGGAGCAATGACGAGTCTCCCTTAAACATGGTTCTCACCTGCAGCTCCGAAATGCGGAACTGGGCAGAGAAGAGGCATCCTGTGGTGGAGACAGGGGGGTCTGTGTCTGGATGTCCTCTGCCCCTCCTCTGGTGTGGGCAAACCCTGGACATCTTTGCCTGCAGGCATTTCCTCACGTGCTTCCAGGGACAGGGAGCTCACTGTTTGACAGCGCAGCTGGTTCCAGGCCAAGTGCCGGGCACCTTTTCTCTTTATAGCGCCACCTCTGAACCAAACCCCATCTCGTTTCTGCTTGGCTGACACATCGCGAC